ATAGCCCCTGTGCACACAGCCCTAGGACCCCAGCCTGGAAGGGATGTTGAGAGGTGTGTGAGGAGCCAGAAGAGAGGGAGAGGGTGTGGTCAGCAAGAACGATTTTGACCTGACTCAGTTTCCTGTAGCTTCCACAATGGCTTGACTTTTGAAAAATTCTGCTAGGCAAATGTGGAAGTGCATGCCTGTAATCCTAATACTTGGGAGGCTGAGGCAGGAGGATCACTGAAAGTTGGAGGCCAGCCTGGGCTACAAAGTGAGTCCCAGGCCGGCCTGAACTACATGGTGAGACCCTGTCTCAAAAAAAAAAAAAAAAAAAAAAACCAAAACCAAGCAAACAAAAACTAATAGAAAAAAAAAAGTTGATGTGAGTGAGGAAGCAATTGCTTTTATAAACGCAGCACCTCTGGGAAATTAAAAGATGCTCAAGTGCCCAGAATGCTTTCAGCCGTGCTGCTTGCTTTGCACACCGAGCCTGGATGCACCGGCTGGAGGCAGGTGGTGGTGAAGCCCTGGAAGGCCTCAGCAGAGCGGTGAGATGGGTGGTCAGCACTGGGGATCTCAGGGAGGTGTGCTGATGGGGCACAGGGGAGGAGAACAGAATAGGGGGTGGATGTGGATGCTTTAGCTTTGTCACATCACAGACCCAGAAAGGGAGGAGGAATTTTCTCATTATTAGCTGTTACTCTTGAGTCCCTGTTCTTGGAGCCATAGCTCAACTTGGTGTAATAGAGATCTCACAGTTCAGCCACAAAATATATTCTGAGTTTTAAACAGCCAATTTACAAGCAAACGTTTGGAGGGTGACCCAAGTGTCATCTGAGGGTTATCCAAGTGCACCTGTCCCAACAGAAGCCAGCGCTGGGCTCCTCGGGAAGTTGCCCTCCGTCGTGTGTGCCCCAGAGCCCTCTCCTCCCTGCTCGTCTCGAGAGTGTTTCATTTCTCACTGGACGCCTACAAAAGTTAAGCAACGAAAGAAAGAAAGAAAGGATACATTTAAATCAGCTTCACTATTTGTAAATTTGGATTCTTTCTCCATTTCCCTCAAACCAAGTTTCCAAGAGCCCTTCAGCTACTTGTGGGGAAGACTCTGTGGGATAAAGGTCTGGGTGAAATGCCACCAACTTTCCCTTTTCCTGCCTCATTTTTACCGGTGGTTTTTTTTTTTTTTTTTAACTGTGAGAAATAGCCATTTATTATGTTTGGAAGGACACACCATTCTGCACTGTGTGGTCTTCCAGATTTTCTGCAGTTGCACATGCCGGGTAGTACTCTGTGGTTCATATTTCCTGTAAATCCATGTCGTCCAGTAGGGCCTTCCATTCAGCTTTCTGACGTTTTATCAAGAATTAGTAGAGGGGCAAGAATTCTTGTCCTGTTAGTTTCCACAATGCAGCCATTTAATAGCATCTTGTCCAAGATGATGTGTACTTTATCTAGATTAAACATATCTAGCTCACTCACTTGGCTGAAGTACGCATCTAAAACCTCCACAAAATTGTGGATGAATTCATAAACGGCCATCTCATTCTCAGTGTCATTAACTCCAACCACAATGAAGAGGGCTGCGTATTGCCGGTAAAGCAGCTTAAAGTCCTTACTTGACGAAAGAGCACCGTACTCCTTCCATCCCGCGTCTTGGCTCTGTGTGTAACTAACCCAGCAGGCAAAGCTAATGAACAGTCAGCGTTTAGAACACCTCTGATGTGAAGATACACGAATGTGACAAAGATTCTCTTCTTTCACCTCCCCACGGCATCTGGGAAACCATTTGGTACGCTCAGCTGTGTACTGCTTAACAGACACTAAGTAAGACCCCAAGACCGTCTGCTTTTCTTGTTTTTATTCTCTTCTGGGCATGTAAAGAGAGCTACGCTTCCTTTCGTTTTCATTCCTTATTTTCTCTAATAGCTGCTGAAGGAAGATAGTTCAGAGAAAATGATGGCCCTTGAGACTCAGCGGTAACCTGCCGAGGCTGAGCTACTGCAGAGATAAAGAGAACATGGAGAACTTACTCGTTCACTGGATCGAGAGAGACAGGTCTTTATGACCTCTGTTTCCAGAAGTGTATGCTTATTAATGTCCACATGTTCACAGTACTTAGGAAGTTGGGTCTGTCCTTGTTTATTCACCATAAGGAGGGGCTGGGGATTTAGCTCAGCAGCACAGTGCCTGCCTGGCAAGCACAAGGTTGTGAGTTTGATTCCTGGTACTGGAGGAAAAAAAACAAAAACAAAAACAAAACAACCCGGTAAAACCATAAGGAATAATTTTATCATTTTCTTCCTGGCCAGTGCTTTTCTAAATATAGCTCAAAAGTTACAGCTTTAAAGTTTGTGGAGGTTTCAGTCCATACTTGGCTGGCTCCAAGGCAGAGTGGCAGAGGGCAACAGTTCATGGTGGCAGAAGACAGCAAAGCAACAAAAGCAAAAAGGGAGGAGCAGATTTTACAGGGTTTTGAGCTTCCTCTGGGGACTTCAAGACTGCTGCATGTCTAATGAGTGTAGCACAGGACAGTAGGCCTAATAAAATCAATGCATGTGCTTATTCTCTATTCCAGCTGTGCACTGTGTGTGCATGCTGTCACAGCACCCTCTGTGTGGATGCCAACCCTATGGGCTTAGGCAGTCTGTATCCCTTCTGACTTTCCTGGGACAGTTCTGCCATTAATTAATGATAATAGAATGATTTGTCTCAACTTTTGCTGCTCATTGGAGTCACCTGGGACGCTTTCAGAATTGCTGTGTATTTAAAATGCCAGTGGCGCAGGGCTGTGATCCCCGCACTCAGCAGGCAAGGCAGAAGGACCACGTCGATACTGAGGCCAGCTGGGACTACGTGGTAAGTTCAGGGCTGGCCCGGATTACATAGCAAGACCCTGTCTCAAAAAACCAAAACTAAAGTCCCCCAAGAGAAAAAAGGCTGGGGATGTATTTCAGTGAAAGGGTCATAGGTTGGATTCTTGGTACAAAAACCAAACCAAAACAAAAAAGAAGCTTCAGAGCTAATTTGCTTACTTAATTTGAGAGAGGCCTCGGTGCTGTGATTTTTGGCCCCACCCAACCCGAGGTTCTAAGGAGCAGCCGAGACCAAGAATCACTGACAGACTCAGTTCCCTTCACGAAAAAATGGGGCAACTTAGACCGAGTTTAAAGCCGAGTTAGGTCAATAAATACCTATTGGGTATGTACTCAGTACGCGGCACAAAGGCGAATATTGGACCCATCCGTACCAGCACGCAGCAGGAGCCCACCTCGGCAAGGGGAGCGTGGCGGGCGTGCAGAGGCCCTGCTCTCCATCAGACACTGTCCTAAGGGGCCGTCCCTCCCTCTGGACCCGGAGACTTACAGCAGGGCTTCAGAGGCCGTATTCTATTCGGTTGGGAGCCAGGGAGTCAGCACGTGTGTCACGGAGGCCGTGGCCCTTGAGATGGACTGTGGGGAACAGGGAGGTTTCTGCAGGCGGAGGCTGGGGCAGAGCCTCCCGCAGAGGCTGGAGAGAAGCAGGCCCCGCGCGAGGCTGCTGCCCAGTGGTGGATGCAAAGCTTTGCAATCCTCCTCGGTGAGCTTGAGTATCCCAGGACAGGACAGAGCAGCTGGTACCCACCTGGTTTGGCTCCAGGCAGCCATTAGGGATTTGAAGGTCAGGGAATAATATCCCCGGAGAGAGGCCGCTGGGGGGATGGTCTAGGATCTGTGCTGGCCGGCTGTGGGAGGTCGAGGGGCAGGAAGACCAGTGAGAGGTCTGCGGTGGTTGAGGTCAGAGACCGAGGGAAATGAAAGCACTGAAAGTGCAGGGGTGCGGGTGGAGAGGAAGTCTGGAGGGAGGGGGCGCGCCTGGGAACTAACAGGGCTTTCGGACTCGCTGGGCAGAGGCAGCGGCAAAGTGACGGGAGGGTTCTGATTTGGCCTCTGAGGAACGTGCTGGTGCCGTTACTGGAGCTCATTAGGCTGCTTTGAAGAAAGGGAGATGAGGAATCCGGTTTGGGGTATGTCGAAAATAAACTTACAGATGGAACTAAACCCTCTTAACCAAACATTCCTCCTTCTAATTGAATGATTCCTCCTTCTAATTGAATTCTTAGAGCGCCGGTTTGTTTAATCCAAAAGGCTCGTCTGTCTCCCAGGAGCACACGGCAATGGCTGGGCACAGGACGTGGGCAGAGGCTGCCGCAGGCATCCAGTGGGCAGAGGCCGGGGAAGCTGCTACATATCCGACAGTGCGTGGGGTCGGCGTCCTCCCCACAAGGACTTCCCAGCCCCAAAGTCAACCGTGCTGAACCCAGAAGCCCTGCTTTAACACAAACCAGTAGTTCAAGTTTCAGGGGTTTTTAGGCTTATTATATTTTGAGTGAGACAGCGTCATCTAGTGTCCAAATATAGCATTTATCCTAGTTCTATGTGGAAAAAACCAAAAAATATTCAGAAAACGAAGACGTACAGAACCGAGGAATATCCTTTCGTGGCCGAGCTGTCTGGTATTTACAGAAGTTTGCGTGACAAGGTGTTCTGGTGGACAGGCCGGACGTGATCTTGGAGCTGGGAGGTGCTTCCTGCTTGCGAGAGCTTTCACTGCACAGCAGATGTCAGCACGGATGCAGAACATTCTGCAGAACTCGTTCCACGCGAGGCGCACACCATTCCGTTAAAGCTGCCTACATTGTACCACACTTACTGCAAATGCGGAAAAGGAAACAAGGTCTAATAATTCTGTTCAAGAATGACTGAAATCTTGTGGATGCAACCTCTGGCATGCTGTTCTATCAAGCAGGACTGGAAACAAGGTTTTTAAAGTTATGGAATAACAGGATGACGACCACTAGAAACTTCTGTCTCCTTAGGAACAGATGGAGCTCTGCCTCTAGAAGCAGCACTCTACTGCCCTCACCCTCCCTCCTCTGTCCGATGTAAGCTCCCTGAGGGCAGGGCTGTGTCTTAGCCACACCCTTGCATTTCCCACAGGCTCTGGCAGAACATCTTATAGACAGTAGACACACATGATTTTTTTTGAATGAATGATTTTATTTTTATATTGGAAACCCTTGCCTTGAAACAAACTATTTTCAAGCCTCTGCAAGCATTTACTATCTCTAAGCCACCTGCTTATGTAAGATGCCAGCTGAGGGGGCCTGGCACACAGAACGCCAGGGATCCGAGCAGAGGAAACTGGTAGCAGGACCTTAGCCATTTCCCCCGTGAGCCTGGAGCAAACCATGCTGCGATGACTGCGGCCGGTGCAGCGTCTGGGCTGGTGTGGGACTTGACGATTTCTGTCTAACGTAACATTCACTCTCCCAGCAAGTATTTCCTGAGTGGCTGCTTTGTGCTGGGTACTCTCCTAGGCACTAAGGACACCGGCACGAACTGGAGTCTAAAATTCCTTGAGAGGCGGGTTTTGAGTAGGTCGGTCCGACGGAAGAAGCTTGTCCCCTTCCCCTCCACCTTCCCAGCTAGCATATTCCTTTCTACGTAGAAAATGCAGTTCGGTCAATGATCTCAAAGCAGTTGGCAGCTATTAAGGCCTCCTCTTTCCACAACCACCACTCTGCTGCGGGAAGTGAAAATCAGCGTCTCCATCACCCCGCCTTGACGCACCTCTCCCTTCCTGCCTTCTGCACAGCCAGGCTCTGGGGAGGGCAGGAGAAGCTGGGGCGCATTCTATCACAGGTGGTCATGACTCTTGCCCATTTTGCCAGTGGCAACCGAAGCTGGTAATTTTAAGTGACTCCGCAGAAGGTTTTTTTCTGATTGATTTATTAACAACTCTTTAGTTCTGGAGTCTAGGGTTACCCAAAATTAGAAAGAAGAAAAACCAGTCACCATCCAAAGGAAAATGGTGCAGAAGCAGAGGCTGGGGGGGGTCTGCGTTGACCACACAGTAGGTACACTGTGCTATAATACTGAGTGTTTCAGTGATTTTTTTTTTGTATCTCAAGCGTTTTGGCACCTTATTATGTGGCTCTGCACACCCAGGATATGCAAATCAGAAGTGCTACCCCATGCGTATGACCGTAGTGGCATGATCTCCTAATGCTAAGTGGAAGCTGATGTGATGAAGTCACCAGAGCTGCTGCCACAGGTGTAATCAGAGAAGGTGACAGTGACTGCGCCGCTTTTTCCTTTGCACTGTTGGGTGAATTAGTTTTGTGCTAAGGTCACGCTGTCTGGCTCGTCTCTGCCCAGACACATGCCCCTCAGTGCTCCTGGCAGAGCATGAGCACCCTTACCACTGCCGGGCCAGGGGGCCGTTCCTGCTTCCCCTCACAGCAGGGGTGGCAGGAGTCTGACATCTGCGGTTCATCTGTGTGGTCGGCCCACACTTTCGTCGGAATCTGTCAGAGGCACGGCCCTACAGCCATCCTGCAGGGAGGGTGCAAGAGACCCCGCCACCTTACCCAAAGCCCTGCCCGCCCAGTCCGGCAGCGTGGGGACCCGCTCGAGTCCAACGGCTCGGAAACCTCCGCATCCGGTCGTCCTTCCCTTCCACAGTCCACCCCCTTCCACAGCGGGCACCAGGCGGCCTTAGAGTTCGTCGCTCTCCACCACACTAGAAGAGCACGAGTACAGCACTGTGCTTTCCACAGACGAAAAGGCAGAGAAAATGTCAAGTCCTTTCCCGGTGAGAGACCCATAGCGACTGCCGCTGGGCCGGACGGACATGGGCGGCGGGATCTGCTGGTGCCACTGAGCTGGAAAACGGAGAGACGCTGTGTTATGGTCAGAGGACTACGGTGCGGCACTCGGCAGGAGGCCGAGAACCTTCCCTGCCAAGCCCAGGGAAACTGGGCTAGTGGTCTCTCAGACCTTTAAGCCTTGAGCCTGTGATTCTTTAACTCATAAAAGATTAGAATTGGCACAAGGCGGGATGAGCAGAGTGACCTCTGAATCACTCCCTCACTGGCCTGGCGTGGGCCTGCTGTGGGCTCTTGGGAGAGCACCTCAGGAGGACACACCTGTGGAACCTAAAGATGGGTTCAAGCCGGGCATGGTGGTAGACACTTATAATCCCATCACTGGGGAGGCTGAGGCAGGAGGAGAGCCATGAGTTTGAGGCCAGCCTGGACTGCATAGTGAAACTCTATTTCAAAAAACTGAAAGAAAAAATAAAAGCGATGGGTTCAGCCGTCACAGAACTGCCTACCTCTAAGCCACCCGATCCTGCCGTGACCTACTTACACCTAATCAATCAGGTCCTCGAAAGTTACAGCGAGAAGACTGGGAAGCAAGTCATGTGTAGCCCACTGTGGTTCAGGGCAGACACTGCACTAGGGTTTCCCTGCTCACCGGGTGCCTTTTAAGGCAGACACAATTCTTAGGCACGAGCTGGATGAAATAATTTGGGTGGTGCAGTCCCTGCTATTGTTTCTGATTCAAGAAATTACCAAGCAATCACAGGAGTAGGTTTCCGGAGACCTTGATTCCAAGAAAGGTGTACAGGAAGTGGGGAACGCAGGACACTGGGTCCTAGAAAGCTGTGCTCCTGTCTGGCATTTTGATTTATAAATCGGTCCTTTGTTCCCTTCACTATCTTGAATCAGCTTCTTGGAGTCTTAAGTTCCACTGAGTGAACTCAGAGAGTCAAGTTTAGAAAGCTTCCACACCGAGGACAGAACCTACAGCGATTCCACTTACAGAACGTCTCTTAGCCCTCCCCTGCTCTCTCTGACGTCTTCCCGGGATGGAAATTTCCAGTATTAGAAACCAAGCCCTTCCCTTTCATGTGCGCTGGGGATTGAACCCAGGGCCTCACGCACGCTAGGGAGTGTCTGCCACTGAGCCCTGCCCTGGCCAGAAGCCCTTCTAGCACGAGGAGCCTGCTGTCCTGGGGTGATGGTGCTGATGATGGTGAAAGAGAAGAGGGGTAGAGAATTCATTCTAGCCTAAATCCTCCTCCCTCACCCCAGGACCCAACAGAAGGAACAGCGCCCCCTACTGGGCATCATGGACTCAGGACCTGGAAGAGGACAGCTGAACCCCACAAACAGGGTGGGAACTCAAGCCCTGGAGGGCAGGGTTGGGCTAAGAGCCATCAGCTTCAGGGCTTGTCCCAGCCTGTGAGCGTCTCAGTTGGGGACCCAAGGCCCTCAGACCTGGTGGAGCCTGGGGAGCAGCAGGGGCTCAGCCTGGATTAAGAAACCTTCACTGGCCTCTTCTGGATTTTTTTTTTTTTTTTTTT